CGTGGGTGTGCGCACGCCTTGGGGCCTGCGGCTCTGCTGGATGGTCAGCTGATCCTCAGCCGATTGTCACGGAAGCTGCTCCCACATGCTCACCGTGTTGGGTGACTCGGTATAGACGCAGCGTGCTGTCACATTGAACTTGCTTTAACCACCTTTGGGAAGTGTGGAGGGGAGGGCTGAGGTCTCTGTCCTAAGCAGGGCCGTAGTGGAAACCCTTGGACCACAGCAGACCTGGGTTGGAAATCTGTCCCTGTCCTCACTACCTGGGTCACCCTCCAAGTTCTTTCACATCGTAAGCCCCAGCCTCCCCATGTTTATAAGGCAGAAATGCCTCCTCCCGAGGGTTCGGTGATGTGGTCACACCACAGGGTGCAGGGGCTGCCCCCAGGGCTTTGCAGGCTTGTGGTCAGGTTGCCCTGGCAGGGCGCGGGGGCACAGCAGACAGCTGCCCTGTACGGCATTTCTCCCCTCTGGGCGCCCCACTCCTGGGGATCCTGGCGTACTCGGTCTCGTGTGGGACTGCGAGGACACCCGGCTTTGCCTTCCAGGATCCGTGTGGGCTGCCACAAGCTCATCAACCACCACATCTTCACCAACCTCATCCTGGTCTTCATCATGCTCAGCAGCGCCGCCCTGGCCGCCGAGGACCCCATCCGCAGCCACTCCTTCCGGAACACTGTGAGCCTCCCAGGGCAGGGGTGGGGGTGCAGGAGAGGCCGTGGAAATGGGGCCTGTGAGGCTGAAGCCAGATACAGCTTCTCGTTCGCTGGAAACGTTTTTTGTTTCTGGTTTGTAAGTGCCAGAGAGTGTTTGTGTCATGGGGACAAACAAATGGCATCATTTATTTTGAACTTCATCTTAAATACTCTGCAGTAACTCACAGCAATTCAGGGACCCCCATTTCCTTCTCCATGTTCCTGGGTGCCGACATTTCTGTCCCTCTCTCCTCCTGGCGAGTTCACCTTCTCCCTGTCGTGAGAGACGTGCCTAGTGGGGTGGTTGGTGTGTAAAAGCCTCAGTGGAGCCAGGCCTGTCGTGTGCCCAGGGGCCTTCATCCAGGGTTAGGGAGGTAGCCGTGTCACATGGACTGACACACGAGGAGAAGCCAAGCTGGGGGGATGGTGGGAGACTGAGTCGAGGGGCCCAGTAGAGACAGAGCTGGTGTGGTAGGAGCTGGCTCTACCAAGAAAGCAAAGGAGGCTGCAGTTCTCTGTTCATCAGCTGGTAGCAGACTGGGGCCCTACCGCTGCCTCCACATTAGAGAGGAGCTTGTACCTGCGCTAGTTCTTTGCCGTCTTAGCAATTCAGCCTACTCGGCACTGAGGACCCTCCAAAGGAGAGACAGTTTCCAGGAGGCCACAGCCCAGGGGCTGTCAGACCCAGACCCTGCTATGCCATTCCAGGTTGTCCACCAAGGGAACCCTGCCAGAAATGGGGGCCAGATACACGCAAGGTCGGTGTGGCTGCCTCAGCCAGGGTGGCGCCTCTCTCTGTGCATCTGGTTGGCAGAGAGCTCAGGATTCAGATGCACCCACAGATCAGTCCCCAGGATTCTGTCGTGACACCATGCCATCTGTTTTTCTTCAGGTCCAGCATTTAGCAAACCTCATCTATCTGATTAATAAAACTCGTGCTCAGATAAGAAAATAAAAAGAGGCACGAGTTGATGGTAACAGATAACAGCTCAGCAGGAGCCTGTCTTAATCTGTCCTCACAGGCCCTGTCTCTAGCTGATCTAACGGCATAAAGAACCCATTCAGGAGTTCAGTCGTGGAAAAGGCACAGGGGAAAATGACATCTGGGAAAAAAATACCAGTATATGACAGGTCGGGAGCTAGTCTAGAGTACACACTGATAGGGGGTTAATTTGCGCTGGGGCTTTGTGCCTTTTTAAAATGATGATTATTATTATTAATTAAAACCACTCCTCTATAAGTTTATTACCCTGCCCCATTTTCCAGAAATATTATGGTCCTTTTCCAGTAGTTGTACATGTGTATGTATATTGCTTTTAAAGTACAGTGTTTGGCTGTATGTGTTTTACCCTTAGCTGAATTCTTAATGGGGATGAGAGAGAGAATGGAAGCTGAGTGAGGAAAGAACAACTTGTTGACCCATGGATTTAGGCCGCAGTGTCTTTCCTGGCTTCCAGGGGATTTCAGTACCAGTATCTCTGCTGTGACTTGGGAGGAAATAAGGGGAAGGTGACAAGAGGCCTGGTAATGTATGGAAAATACCTTCCGTGGCCTGGCCAAGAGACAGTTACACAGAAGTATTCTAGCAAAGTTCATGAATCCAAAATACTAACAGTTTGGAAAAGGAATAGCTTCCGAAGGGAGAACTTCACCTGGGAAAGCTGGGCTTCAGACAGAACCCCTGCCCCCACTGCAGCAGCAGAATAGGCCCTAGAGTGGCTCCCACTGGCACCGCAGGCTGCTCAGCAATGCCTATGAATGGCTGTGTGGCCGTAGCCCCACCCTGCTCCCAGCAGCCACATCTGCAAAATGAAAGGACATGGCTGGGTCGTTTACGCAGTCCTTTCTAGCTGACGCCTCTTGGAGGTCCTTTAGAACCAGAGAGCTCAGTTGTCACGAAGACCACCAGCCCATCATATCTCGTGTGACAGCAGAGTCGTGGTGGCTGCGTGTTGTGGTCAGCAGTCCTGGGAGCATTGATCAGGCTTCTTGCCTACTTACCCTGTCCCCATGCCCCCTTGACTCTGAGAAGCAGGAACCCCAGGAGAGGCTGGCAGGACTCGGTTAGATAACAGACAGGACTTCCAGGGATGCCGATATGCAGCAGCCTGAACTGAACCAAGGCCAAGCCAGTCTGGTTTTCAAGGGGGACCAGGGAGGTGAGAAGTCAGCCCTGCGAGACTGCATTGTGTGATGCAGAGCAGTGAGTGGGGCAGGGGAACGTGAAGTTCAGCTGGTCCTTGCAGACTCAGCCCAGCAGGCCGGTGGGGGAAGGGTGTTTACCCCCTGATTGGACAGGATGAATGACTTCACCTGATGTCATGGACACCCTTATGTGCATTCCCCACCAGTCTCAAGGTCAGTCCAAAATGCAGTCAAAAATCCAAAATGCATGTAAGACTCTAATTTATCTGGTGGTCCAAGTACCTTGAGATGTGTATTCCACTGAGAAGAGGTTATTAAGAAAGCCCTTTTAGGGACCACCAGATAGCATAATGGTTATGTCGCTGGATTCTCATGTAGTCGACCACGGTTCGAGTCCTCGACCCAGTGGCTTAAAACTCATGCCCGTAACATATACATGTATGCCCAAGAGCCCAAGAGAAAAATGAGGGAGAAAGGATTGCAGTGTGGCTGTCCCACCTTGGGGGGTGATTCCTCGCTTTCTGTCTCTCTCTCTCTCTCTTTGTCTAGTGAGCATATATGCCCTATAGCAAAACAAAACAAAACAAAACAAAAACAAAACAAAACAAAAAAAAACTCTCCCACAAAGGAAAAAGAAAAAAAAAAAACACACACACACACAAGAAAGAAAGTCCTTTTATTGGGCCAGCAAGCGATGTGGTAATTAAGGTGTTGGATTCCCACATGGCCAACTGTAGTTCAGTTCCCAGACCCAGTAGCTTTGAGAATGACAACAGGTAAGGTAGGTAGGTAGGTAGGTAGAGAAAGCAAGCAAGCCCTTTTAGAACTAAGCCTCAGTCTGCCCCACGCTGGGATGCAAAGCACCGTGAGTGGTCATCGGAGGTGAGGATCCCCACTGCCCCTGTTGGTCTTAAAGAGGGTCTCTGATGACCACAGTGGGCGCTTGGGAGCTTCTCTGCACTTGCTCTGAGTTGGGGGACACCCAGGAGGATGGGTCACTGACTGCATGGGGACTCTGACCCAGGGCATGTTGCTATTGGAGTTTGCTGCCGCGTCCTCACCTCTGCCCGTTGTACCTTGCAGATTCTGGGTTATTTTGACTATGCTTTCACAGCCATCTTCACTGTCGAAATCCTGTTGAAGGTAATGACTTTTCGTTGCTCTCGTGCACCCCAGCAGCTTAGCATTAACAGTTGCAATTCTTTGCTTACCTTCCAGATGCTAGGTTATGCAGATTATGTCTTCACTGGTACTTTTGCATTTGAGATCATTTTGAAGGTAACAGGTTACCCTGTGGTGTGTTTATGGGCCTGCTCCTGTGTGTGACACACAGGAAAGAAGCGTGAAGTGCGTTTGACTTTTTTTTTTTTTTTTTGGTCTTCTGCAATGAAGCCAAACTTTTTTTTTTTTTTTAAACAGAAAGGATTTTTTTTTTTTCCTGTGACCCTTCCAACTTACTTTGCTGTTTCTTTTTACCTTTGAATGCATGTAGGAACTACTTTGGCTTCATGAAAATGACTGAGAATTATATTTAGCTCTGTTGTTTTTTAATATCTCCTGAAATTTGTCAACTGACAACAGATGCGTCACTCTGTGTGAACTTTCTTCCACTTCCTGACTTCCAAGTCCAAGGAAAAGCATTTGTCCTGTGAAGGAGATGTGTCTCTTCTCATCTCCTTGGTTGCCTTTTGTTCTCAGTGGCCTCAAATAGTCACACACTATTTTCTTGCAACAGGATTTGCAAGATAACTTGGGTCTATTTGTGTTAAGGTATTTGCTATCTGTTGTAATGGGTGGGCTTACATTTACACAAACAAAGTTTGTACAGGGCAGCCTCAATGTACGGCCCATGCATGAGCTCACAGCTGTGTCGCTGCTTGTGGTTTGCGTCCTGACTGGGACAGCCACCCCATGGGGAGCTCACTCCCTTTGTGCTCAGAGGTCTGGGACCAGTGGCAGAGAGCTGAACCCCCACGCACAAGGCTGGCTTAGAACCGCGAGGCATCTGGGAGAACATGGCCTGTAAGAACTATCCATGTGAGCATCCCCTGGTGGGGAGACAAACTGGGCAATGAAGACTTAACCGCACTTGTCTTTAAATCATTTGATATTATTTGTTTATTTTTTTAAATGCATCTCAAAGGGGAATGAAATGTGTTTCATGTTAGACCTCTGTGGAACTTGGGCTCTTTACACAATCTTCAATAAAATGAAGCCTAATTAATGCAGCCAGGGAATTTAGTTATTTCATTTTCTGTGGTTTTGTTGTTGTTAATGAAACATTAGTGGGAACCAATCTATCAACATCTTTGTTCAAAATTGTCAAAAACTTTGAGTTTGTTCTCCTGCCATAAAGGCGCGATTCGATGGATATTCTGACCCGTGTCAGAGCTGTGCAGGGGGAGGGGCACCCCATCCTGACCAGAGCTGTGTGGTCAGGACTAAGGAGACAGAGCTACGGGGCCTGGTAGCCTCTGCTCCTGCCCTAGCGGCCTGTTCCTGCAGTCCGCCTCTCCCTCCTCAGACTGAATGGGGAGTGTCCTACTTAGTGGGTTAGTGACGTCTTAATTTACTATCCACATTTTTAAGTTAATAAATGAATCAACTTACTCTTGGGCTTTGGAGAAAATGACATAGAAGATTATTTTAAAGAAAAAAATAAAGCATGCCCCCCCCCTTCAGATTTTGCCACTGGGCTCATACACTTGCCAGAGACAGACAGAAAGAGGCAGTGAATGGGAAAATGAGAAATCACCCTCCCTGCAATGGGGGTGATCACATTGCAATCCCTTCTCCTGTATTCTCCTCCTGGGCTTTTGGGCATGCATGTGCCCAGCATGAATTTTAAGCCGGGACTCAAACTGCGGACAGCCACGTGGGAATCCAGTGCCTTAACCATCATACCACTTGCTGGTCCCATGTGGTTGCTTTTTTAATTTCTATAGATTTGTATTGGCAACGTAGATCTTCTAAGTCAGTCTCTATTTTGAAGATATCTTAGAAAATTGAAGATAAGCTAGAACAAGAATTCAAAAACATAAATTCACCGTCAGTATCTGAATATCAAATATCTGAAATGGTGGATCCTGGTGGCCTTGGTAAAATTTGGAAGACTATTTAGTTATTTGGTTAAACCCTTTGAAACTGCTATTTTTGTAGGCCAAAAGGGTTGAATATAGGCAGTTTTATAAGATTCAGTTTAATATTTCCCATCCTGCCACTGCACTGCTGTTTTTATCTAAATCCCTCCCTGCTTCCTCCCCCACTGCCCATGATGTGTGCTCCAGGAACACGTCATGTGACAAGAAAGCAATGAGGCCACAGGTGAGACACAGTTGAGTGGCTCCTCATCACAGCCCACACAGGCTAAAGTAACTAGGCTTGGAGGGAGTATCTAAATAGATGTATTGGACCAGCCCTGTGGCCTCGTGGGTAAGGGACCAGATCCAACATGGCCAGCTTTGTGATTCAAGTCCCGGCCTGAGTGGTTGAGAAACATGCCAGTGTGCGTGCATGCATATCCCAAATCCCATCAGGATGGAGAAATGGAGGAGAGGGATTGCGGTGTGCTTTCCCTCTCTCCCTCTCTGCCTCTGGCAAGCACAAGCACCCTCTAGCAAATTTTTAAAATATTTAAGAAATAAAATTAAATGGATGTATTACTAAAGACTATTGAGAGCAATGAGGGTCCTACGTGGAAAACTGATGCACGTTTCCATCAAAGTGGAGCCCGTGAGCGCTAGACTCTGGCTCTCTTTTAGCCCCCAAGGGAAAGCCTCGGAGACAGTGGGACAGTGTAGGCCCTACTGGGGCCTCGGAGAGGCCAGAACCAGCGCCTCGTGGACAGCCAAGTTGTTTGGGCTGCAGTTACTTTCTGACAGATAGGGCTCTGTGGGGTCTGCCCTGAGATAGGTTCTTTGTCCATGCCAGCAATGTATTCATACTAGAAGTCCCTCCTCATCCTTAGCAAGTCTGAATCGCTCCCTTCCTTTAAAGTGTATTGTATTCGCTGCCTCTCGTCATTTTTTGTTTCAACAAATGATTCGGACACTCAGCCCTGTCGGTTTACATTTCTGGCTTCCTCTGGGACACTTGTAATACAGTCATACTTTTCCTTAAGATTTTGTGGAGAGCCCAGGTTTCTTTTCTTCTGGAGAAAAACAAGACAGTAAATCACCAATGATTCTGCTTATAGATGACGACTTTCGGAGCTTTTCTCCACAAAGGGGCTTTCTGCAGGAACTACTTCAATCTGCTGGATATGCTGGTTGTGGGCGTGTCTCTGGTGTCTTTTGGGATTCAGTGAGTATCTCCGTGTGTGTGTGTGTGTAGGATGGCTTGTATAAGGAATGTTTATACCATTTATAAAAGCCAGGCATCATTTTAATGATTGCATCTAGTTATACAGCTACTGCATTTAGTCAAGTAGTTATTCCTGACATGTCTCATGCCAGAATGCATTGGAACAATTTGTGTTTTCTTCTTTCTTTTTTCTTCCCGTGTTCACTGCTAGCTTGGGCTCATTCCTCTGGGAAATTCACTTTTAACAGAGGCTAGAAGAAGCCAGGTTTTAGTCTGGGTTCTTCCCAGGGGCTGTTGAGGCATCCCTCCCAGGAACCTCAGTACCCCTTGCATCTAGGAGAGGCTAGACCAGCTGGCCTTTCAGGACTCTTTCAGCTTGGACTTTGAGAAGTCCCTTGATTTCCCAGGTGTGGCAGCTGCTGTGACCTATTCTTTTGGCTTCTGAAATTTTTCAGCTAGGAGGAAGCTGAGGCTGAAAGTCAGGGCCTTGGGTCCTTTCCGTGCCATTTAGGAATTTCTGGTGGGGACAGCCTTTGTTGAACCTCAGGCCCAGGCATCTGCTTCTCTGCTACCTGTGAACATCTGTTCAGGTCTAACTGCTAGTACTCCCAGTAAGCCCATGTGTGTGTACATGCTCCCACACATGCATGTGTGCACATGCATACCATCTGAGCTAAAGGCAGGTGGCAGGCCAAACACCTCTGTGTCCCTCTCTGTACTCCTTACCCCCATGGCTGCAGGCTCTCAGGAGCTGCAGCTTGCACCTACTTCCTCCTGAGCGTGTGCTCTGGCGTGCCTGACCATGTGGGGTGCCACATGAGCTGTGTCCTCAGGCTGAGCCTTTTGGTGTGTTGTCCCCACCCCACCCCTTTGTCAAGTCGACCCTGTTCCTCCTCTGGCCTCCTCTAGCTTCATCTCCATAGAAGCCTTCCCAGGCTGCCCCCAGGGTGTACTCGTGCTGGGCTGCAGTTGGCCATCTCTCCCACCAGACCACACTCCTGAAGGCCAGAGAAGCCCCACTCCAAGCCCTACAGCAGGTCTCCAAACTTGCACGAAAACCCTGCTGCCAAAAAGCCAAGTCCTGCCATGGAAAGAACAAAGCAAGTGTGTAAAGTGCCCATGCACAGAGTCTAGCTGTGGGCTGAGCTCAGGCCCTGCGAGTCTAGACTTGGCTCAGCAGTGCAGCAGGTGTGGGCTGCAGGGAGAGATCCCATGCAGACATGTAGTGGGGTGAAAGTGCAGGTCTAGGAAGTAACTCGCCTCAGAGTCTTCATGCACCTCACACTCGCTTGCCTCCCTACCTCTGCTCTTTCCCTTCTAGGTCCAGCGCCATCTCCGTTGTGAAGATTCTGAGGGTCTTAAGAGTCCTGAGGCCCCTCAGGGCAATCAACAGAGCAAAAGGACTTAAGGTTCTGATTTCTCTCCTCCGGGCAAGGCTGGCTTGGGCTGGGGGTGGCTGAGGTTACTGATTCGTGGCCCAGAGCTGAGCTGAGGCCTGATGGATTTTAAAGTGGGCTATACATTTAAAAAGGCCCAGGCCAGCTGGTATTGTGGTGGTTAAGGCAGCTGGATCCCCCGTACCAACGTACATTTCAAGTCCCAGAGCCAGCAGCTTGAAAACACACCAGGAAGCATACATGCATGCCCAAAATTCCAAAAGGAGAGAGCGATGGGAGAGAAAGAATTGTGATGTGACCATTCCCTGTGGGAGGGGGGGTTGTTTTCTTGCTTTCCTTTCTGCCTCTCTGTCTCTTTCTGGCAAACACACATGCCTTTTGGCAAATTGAAAAAAAAAAAAAAAAAAAGGAGGAACCTGGTTCTAACCAATTAACCCACCTATGCCGAGTACTACTACCATTTGAAAAAATTATTTTTATTTTTGTCAATTTAAGATATTTTTCTCTATGATTATCGCTCATTCATTACCTTTTTCATCATTAATAGTATTTCTTTGTGTTTATTTTAATTTTTGGTCTGGTGTATATGTAGAGAAGGCTAGAGGGCCTGTGTTTTCCCAAGTCCTTTACAGGGTGGGAGGTCATTTGGGCCCAGGTGCCAGGCAGTGCTACACCCCATAGCATTTCTTCTGACTCTTCTAAGTGCATTGGAGGAAGCCAAGGGGGGCCCACTTACCAAGCACCCCTTAGGGCAGCTGCGATGCACTGTGGGTTCCTCCCTGCTGATAACTACTGGAAAGGCAGAGCACAGAGGACTGCACGTGGGAATAGCCCAGAGAAATGTGCATAGCAACTCCTGCTGGCCTCCGCCCGCCTGCAACAGCCCTGTCCCGGTCCTGCACTCTCCCCCCAGCATGTGGTCCAGTGCGTCTTCGTGGCCATCCGCACCATCGGCAACATCATGATCGTCACCACCCTCCTCCAGTTCATGTTCGCCTGCATCGGGGTCCAGCTGTTCAAGGTAGAGGGCGCGCCTCGAGCACAAAGCCCAGGCCAGCTCCCGTGAGCAGCCCACCCTTGACTGCCTGTGTGTCTGTTTTGTGCCAGGGGAAGTTCTATCGCTGCACAGACGAAGCCAAAAGTAACCCCGAAGAATGCCGGTGAGTGTCCCGAGAGTAGCGAAGTACACTTGGAAGGACAAAAGGAGCACTTCGAGAAATCACTCGTGGTAGCATTTCGGAAGTTTTAGTTTCGGAATAAAAGAGGCCTACACGCTCCGCCCCTGGCTAGCTCAGTGGTATTTTGTTTGTTGCTAACGTGAAACTCATATAACAGAACCTTAACCGTCTTAAGTGTATAATTCAGTGACATTTAATGTACATAATTGTGTAATCAGCACCTCTATACTAAAATTTTTATCATCCAAAAGAATAGACAGATGGCTTTTGATGCTTGATGTTGAATCAATAAACGGGGGAAAACCCTGCTATAACAATTAGAGAACAGCCTACATCACTCCCCGTACTCCAGGGGAGTGATTTCCCTTCCAATCAGAGCTTGCAACTCAACTTCCTGGTGTCCAGGGGCTGACTGCCCTTTCCTGGCAGGTCTTTCAGACCTCCTCTCCTTGCTCCTGTCCCCACACATATTCTGGCCATGATTTTATTCACCAGAACTGGCACAGGAGAGAGACACAGTGGGAAATACTCGTGCCCCTTATTCGCTAGCCTCCAGTGGGTACGAAGGCAGGCGTGGCACCCACCTGGAGTTAGAGGCTGTGTGGAAGGCTCCTTTGGAGTTGAGGCAGACTTAGGTCTGGCTACCCATACTTCTTTGGCTGGGGTTTCTTCTAGGCAGAGGTAGCAGAGCGCCCACTGCACTTGGACAGCAATGTAGCAATGTGGAGCTGCCAGTCCTGCCCTCTGAAAGTCTTGGCTTCCTCGTTTGTAAAATAAGGATACTGAACGTGGGGTCCAGCAAGGGGTGTGATGATTAAGGCACTGGAGTCCCACGTGGTTGACTGCAGTTTGAATCCCAGACACAATAGCTTGAAAATTATGCCAGGTGTGTGTGCCTAAATGCATACGTGCCCAATATCCCAAGAGGAGAATGAAGGAGAAGGGATTGTGGTGTGGCCGTGACCTCGGGGGGGGAATTGTCACTTTCCCTTTCTCTGTCTCTCTCTCTATTGAGCATATGCACCCTATGGCATTTTTTTTTTTAAGAGAGAGAGATTTTTGCGACGGAGCATGCATGCTTGCCAGAGAGGGAGAAAGACAGAAAGCATGAAATTATCCCCCGGGGGGATGGCTATGCCGCATTCCCTTCTCCTCCATTCTCGGGATTTTGGGCAGACATGCGCCTGGCATGATTTTTAAGCCACTGAGTCTGGGACTCGAACTGTGGTCGATTACGTGGGAGTCCAGTGACTAAACCATTATGTCATTTGCTGGTTCCAGCAGAAATTCTAAAAAAAAAAAAAAAAAGGAAAAGAAAAAGATATTGGACTTGACTGCTTGGGCTCCTTCCAGAAATGAAGTTCTGTGAGAAATATTGTATGCCAGAAATTAAGGAATTCTTTTGGAAAGAAAATTGGGAGTATCGTTAGTATGAAGAGAAAGGGATTAGATTGCAACTAAAATGCAGTTAAGAGGCTCCCTAGACTTGCCTCCAGAGTGTGGAACTCCTAGGACTGAAGCCCCGACTCCCTGGGAAACTTTGAACATATTCTGTGCCATAGAGTGTGTGTTACCAACCACGTGCCGGCTCCTGCCCAGCTGCCCTGGAGAACAAGCCTGGTGCCAATAGTTACTCAGTGGTTCTTGAACCCTAGCATAGACTGACTGTAGGGTGAGAACACACCTGAGTTGTTGGGTATGTGGCCTGTGAGGCCATGGACCAACTGTGTCGTACCTGGAGGGAGCTTGAGGATGCAGGAGGAGGATTAGGGCTGTGGGGCTGAGTTAATGCCATTGCTACCTGTGAAGCTAGGACGACCCATATTTTCCTCTCTCTCTAGGGGGCTCTTCATCCTCTACAAGGATGGGGATGTTGACAGCCCCGTGGTCCGTGAGAGGATCTGGCAAAACAGTGACTTCAACTTTGACAACGTCCTTTCTGCTATGATGGCACTCTTCACGGTGTCCACGTTCGAGGGTTGGCCTGCGTGAGTACTGAGGGTGACGGCCTGCTGGGGAGCTCCTGCTGCCCGGGGGAGCTCTGGGCTGAGCCCTCTTTCCTGGAACAAGCCCCACTTCTGCTGTCTGTGCTTCCAGGCTTGCCCTGTGACTTCTTCACTTGGGTCACTTTCAATCACTTCTTGCTCACAGGGCTCCTCTATCTGATTAGGCAAATTGCTAACCTTCGTGGCCTGCTGGGGTCACTGGGGTTTGTGGAGTAGGGATGGTCCAGGTCTTAGCAGTGTCTCTATGGGGAAATAGAGGGTCCTAAGAGGCATTGATCATGCAAATGAATGCCCCAGGTAGCTATGCTAACACTGGGACCATTCTGCCCTTCCTACACAGGGTAACAAGGGGGTCCCAGTCCATTCGTTCATGCCTCGTGCTGAGCACTAGCACGTGCCGGGCATGGACAGTGCTCTTGTGCTATTTCTTGGGATATGCCTCCTCACCAATAAAACATACTTTGGATACCAGCTCCATGCCCCATGCTGTGTTAGGCACCGTGGAAAGAACTGTCTTCACTCCCAGCTCTGCCCCAGCAAGTGCCACCTTGCCCTGGGATCCCTAGTGAGGATGTGTTACATGGGATGACAGTACTGTGCCTTTTCAGATGGACAGGAGAATTCGGTGGGAGGATGTGCAAGTGTCTGGCACAGTGTACCCCAGGGGTGGGCACCCCGGACAGGTTAAATCTGCATCGGAATGGGAGTCCATTGCCCTTGGGAGTGTTACAGTACTTTCCCGCTTCCTGTTTAGAGTTCTGCTTGGTGTATATCTTCATTTTAGTGCCTATTTCAGTTCGGGGAACTTTCCGGGGCTTTCTGGAAATCCTCTGGTCAGTGGTCAGTGTCTTTGTCAGCATGGATTGCTTTCAGTTCCTCTGCATGTCATGTATGTGATGTTCTTCCTCTCTTTTCTCTGTGAATAGAAATATTCAAAATACTGAATATTTGTGAAATCTATTTTCAGTCCTCAAAACATTTCTATATACCCAGGTGCTCCCTCTTCTCAGTGCTGGCCATCTGGGCCAGAGACTAGGGGGGTGCTTTAGGGACCAGGCTGTGTCCAGAGGTTCGGGGGAGGGCACCCTGCGAGGGTCTGATGGGAGGAGGTCAGAAGAGTTCCAGGAACATCTGGGAGGGCTGCATGGCACTGGCAGGGCCTCACCTGGTTATTCTGTCCCCAGGTTGCTGTATAAAGCCATCGACTCGAATGGGGAGAACGTCGGCCCCGTCTACAACTACCGCGTGGAGATCTCCATCTTCTTCATCATCTACATCATCATTGTCGCTTTCTTCATGATGAACATCTTTGTGGGCTTTGTCATCGTCACATTTCAGGAGCAGGGAGAAAAAGAGTATAAGAACTGTGAGCTGGACAAAAATCAGGTTAAAGTCACACGCTGTTTGGGCTTCTGTCCCTCTAGCATGGTCTCTCTTGACTGGTTTCCCTAAGACACCAAGAAGGGCGCCCACCGGCTCCCAGTCCCTGGGACTGAGGTCTGGGCCCTCGGCCCGTTCAGAGCACGTCCTCAGGCAGTTTCAGGCTATACTGCGTAGACTTAGCTTTTCAGCCACGCTTTGGACTTCTCAGTTGTCAAAGCCATTCCCAGCCGTGATGATGAGCAATCGAAGTATGCTAAGGCCACCTTCCAAGACCTTGACTTGCTATTGACAACTCAGAATCTCATTGGGGTGCTGTGGCCACAAACCAGAAAGAATCTACCCAAACTTCTACAGTCCCCGCTAAGAGTGTTTCATATCCACTTAGCGTAGAGCTGCTGCCTTTTTAAAAAAAATTTGCTAGTCAGCACATGTGCTTGTTGGAGAGAGAGAACAAAGAGAAGGAAAGTGAGAAATCACCTCTGTGGTGGGTGGTCCTGCCACAGTTCCTTTTCTTCCATTTGCCCCTCCTTTCAGGCTTCTAGGCATTCGCACATGTCCCTGGCATATTCTTCAAGCCACTGGGTCTGGCCTCCAGCCACACCGTTGGCCGTGTGGGATGCAGCTGCCTTCACCACCATGCCTGGCTGGCCCGGCCAGAGCTGCATGACCTTGGTGCTGCCAGCATTTTCAGCCGACACATCCTGTGCTTTGTGGGGTGCTGAGCAGCATCCCTGGCCTCTATCCATGGGTGCCAACAGCACCCCCTGGTAGGAAGCACCCGCATGCCCCCAGACAGAAGCACATGTCCTGTGGGGACAGAGCTGCTCCTGGTTGGAATTCTGTCTCAGTGGGGAGTACCCCATCACCTGACAGAACTTCCAGCCTGGGTCTGGAACCGCCAGAACTTCCAGCCTGGGTCTCCGATTACACTGTGTCCACCTTCTGTGTTGCTCCTTGTTTTAGCCAGTCTGGTAGAAGCAGGGCCTCTGCCTCTGATGTGGGGAGCCAGGAGCCCTGTGTCTGTCTGGCCCTGCTCACCTGCCCTGAGCCCCGAGGTGCATACCTGCTCCTCTCTGGGGCTCGCTCCCTTATCTCTAAATAGGGGCCTCACGAGGTTGCTCCCGCAGTTCCACTCATCCTTACAGAGTCCAAGGTGGAGACTGTGTCCGGGAGTTCCCCGGCCCTCTGTGAGCAGATTCTGCTGTGATGCAGGCAGTGAGCAGCACAGTTGGGCAGCCTGGGCTTCCCAAGGGGGGAAGTGGCTGTGGTGTAATGAGGCAGCCCAGCCCAGGCCCCAGCCACAGCCCCTGTAGGAAACAAGGACATGCTGGCTCAGTCTGTAGGAAGGCTTTCCTTGGAGTTGTCAGGGCGTCCCTGCAGACCCCAGCAGCGACAGTCCAGGGTCTATGTGGCTTAGCTCTTTTCCTGCCCAAGGCAGACAAATGTCAGGGTAAGGCCCAGGCCAGCCAAGCAGAACTGGTGCTGGAAGCCTGCAGCACCTAAAATCCGGAACCTCTAGTTGAGGTCCCTGGAGTCAGCACGTGAGGCTGAAGCAGTGCTAGGTCCTGGACACAAAAAGCCTGCCTGAGGTCGGCGTCCAGAGTCAGCGCAGGGTGGGCAGGCCTAGGCCCGAGATGCTGAGCTGACAGCTCCCGAGGCTGGGGGCCATCCAAGCTTGCAGCAGAGGGTGGCTGCTCTCCTCCTTGGAGCAAGTGGACAGAGCTCTGGTTAGGCCCCAGCCTGAGTTCTACTCTGCCATCATTACTGATCACATTCTGGGGACTAGAGCTGAACAGACAAGCTCCTAAGCCCCAGAAGCTCCCAGGTGGGCCAACAGAGTCTGTTCCCATAGCCAGCTTCTAGAAGTATCTCCTGCAGGTCCATCCTGACCAGCCTGGGGCTGCCCTTCTCAGGGAGGGAGCCCAGCACCCGGGTCCTCAAGGAGCACTGTGCTTGCCATTGCTCACTCAGCCTCCTTCCCCAAGGACAGTATAGGCAGGAGGATTAGAGACCAGATCCATGCTGAGGAGGAGAGCAGAGATAAGGCCTGGCCAGGCTTCACCCCTCTGCACACATATACACGGCAGATCTCGAGTCTTAGGAGAACCAGCCTTGTTAAGGAAGCAGAGTGGGTGCCATGCTTACCCGAGGGTGCTGGGAGGATTGGAGAGGCAGTGGAGGAGGCCCTTCCCACGACTCAGCATGTGACAATGGCAGGCAGGGTGGTTGTCCCCAGTCCTTTTGCCCAGCGCCTGTGGTCCCTTCCCTAGAGGTTCTGCATAAACCCCTGCAGAGCACATGGCTGCTGTGTCTGCCTTCCCAGAAGTGCTCAGAACCCCTCTTGCCCCTTTCTGCCGTTGCAGCGTCAGTGTGTCGAATACGCCTTGAAAGCACGTCCCTTGCGGAGATACATCCCCAAAAACCCCTACCAGTACAAGTTCTGGTACGTGGTGAACTCTTCGCCTTTCGAATACATGATGTTTGTCCTCATCATGCTCAACACACTCTGCTTGGCCATGCAGGTAAAGACGGAGACAGCCGCGGGACAAGTCTGGGCATTCTGCGCAGCCCCTGCCCCAAATTCTGCGGGTGGAGTGCCGCCCCTCACGAGAGGATGGGTTTGACTTTCTGGCCAGTCTGGGCTGTCCTGTGGCCAGAGTCCCATTCTGGCTAACGGTGGTCACAGCAGAAGTCTACAATTGCTCTTTAGTTTAGGACTCTGTTGGGCAGGACCGTAGGTAATGTTTCCAGGAAGCTGCGTCCTGGAGACTGGCATCCAGTCCTGTAGACATGACTGTGGGTTTCTGTGACCACATAGCATTTGAGGACTGAAGCCTCACAGGTGTTTCAGTTCTGCTTTTACTTCTTCCCAGCTGGGCAATCTTGGGAACATTCAGCTCCCTGGGCCTTGCCTCCCTTACTGCTAAAATGGGTAAATCTGTCTCACCTACCTCAGAGATAAGTTTTTTTTTCAGAGATTTTTGCCATAGGGAGCATGCACTCGTCAGACAGAGAGAGACAGAAAGCGAGAAATCACCCCCCAGCGGGGATAGCCACACTGCAATCCCTCTTCCTCCATTCTCCTCTTGGGATCTTGGGCACGCATGCACATGCGCTCGGCGTGAGTTTTAAGCCACCAGTTCTGGGACGCGAACCACAGTCGACTACATGGGAGTCCAGCGACCTAGCCATTACGCTAACTGCTGGTTCCTCAGAGATAAGTTTATGCGTGGCCATTTGATCTGGGCCTGTCCCTGAGTAACGCCAATATTGGGAAGCAGACTCGAAGCCACATTCTTGAACTCAAGTAGCTCTCAGTATGCGGTAGGGAATGTTCCAGTTCATGGCAGTCATATCTTGGTAACACTGGTGGCAAGGGACTGGCTGACTCAAATGACAGTGCAGTGTTAGCAGTACACATTTTCAGAGGTTGCGTCCCCCAGGCATTGTCACACCAGGACAGGAGGCAAAGGCCAACGTTAGACTCAGTTTTCTCACTGACTTTAAGAACTTGAGGAGGTCAAGCCAGCTCTCAGAGCTGTCTGGAAAAATGGGTCTAAAGACATCAGGGTAAATTTCCTGGCAGAATTCTTACAAATTCTTTATGTATGAAAAGGACCATATGCAGATTATGGAAAGGTTTCGCCAATGTACTGTGCCTCCTCTTACTAAGCATAGACCTAAATGGCGTCAGACTGATCCCTCACCAGATTCTGCCTCTGTTTATAGACACTTTGGTGGTCTCTGCATGGTGGGTGCCTTGGTCAAGGCCCTGAACCCAGCCCTGCCAGAAGGAAGGGTAAATGCCCTTTATCCTGAGCAGAGCAAGTGGATACGTTTGTCCCCCCATCACTCAGTCATCCTCATCTTGTCATGGACTCCCTGCGCGTTGTGATGGTTCGCCCTGTGACTATGCAGTGCCTGCCGAGTCTTGGGGACCAGGTTGTGGACCACCGAGGGTGCCCGCAGGAGCGCAGAGGGCTAGGGGCCTCCGTTTGCTAGCACAAGAGATGGTGGCCGAGTCTAAGAACCACTCCCCGGTCTCTGCCCGCAGCACTACGAGCAGTCCAAGATGTTTAATGATGCCATGGACATCTTGAACATGGTCTTCACCGGCGTGTTCACCGTCGAGATGGTCCTGAAAGTCATTGCCTTCAAGCCGAAGGTGAGCTGCTAAACCCCACTATTCAGCAACTGTTGCTGAGTCACCCCAGCGAAGCAGCCGCTTCCTGTTAGTCTAAGTTACTGAATTATGCTAGATTGTTCTGGCTGCTAACTGGGTTACCGTGTGAAAACGTTAAAATCTGATTAGGATATCTCTACATGTGGAAAAAAACACACGCACAAACAAAACCTCACGAAAACAATTCTGAGAAAAAGAAGGGAGGCAAGATTGGGAATTTGTAGACTGGAGATCATTCTAAAACCTGATTTTCGGTTTCTAGAGGAACACGTATCATGCTGCCTCAGGGAAACCTGCCTCATGACTCGAGCCTTGGGAAAAGAACGTTTGCACATTACCTGTCACAGAGAACGTGACCCCGATTTTACTCTCAGATTCTAGCCTGAGGACTTGAGATGTCTTTGTTCATTGGTCAGCAGCGTCCTTTTTACCTTTTATGGAAAGTTCTCTATGCCAGCTGCAGGCCACTCACAGCCATACTGTCTTTTGCTTGTTTAATTTAGAGAAACTGTGCTTGATTTGAAGACAAAACAAGACTTGAGATGTATCGAACGGTCTTGGGTGACTCAGCGTATAGTGCCTCCTTGGGGAGGGAGGGAATCCAAATCCCCGACTGTCATGGCTGTAGCCAAAGAGGCAGTGTGGCTCAGCATCTGGCTCTGGAAGCAGCCTGCTTTCACACCCACTCTGCCCTTCGTAGTGTGAGCGGTTTACTTAACTGCTCCATACCTGTTTCCTCGCCCATAAAGGAGGGTACTAATCATCCCAATTTGTGGGCTCGTCATGAAGAAGTAGAGCGTTACTGTCTCTGCAGTGTTAAAGAGAAAAAAGAGCTACAGACTGTCAGCTACCGCCACGATTACCGTCCTCTCCTCCCCTTCAAGTCAGGGTGTGCCCTCGTCCCAACCCCTGGACAGAGGGGCCATACTGAGCTGAGCTGCGGGGCGTCTGGCCCTCAGTTTCTTTCCCAGCACAGCTCCAAACTATCTGAGTTAGAGAAGGGTAGAGCAGAGGGACTCGGGACTGTCCTCTCTGTGTGTGACGTATCTGACGACAGTCAGTTTAAGCAAGTTATGGATGATGAGACGGATGGTTTCACACCCCCCGTAGTTACCTGAAATTCTAATTCCAAACTGTTCCTTTCTTTAATTTGACTTAATTCCTATGCAATCTGTATCAGATCTTTGTGGACCAAAAAGAAAGGACCTTTGTAAGTGACTCACTGGGTGATTGCAGTGGGGTCAGACGGGCGCCTTATGCATGGCCAGACGTTACCTACTGTGACTTGTCCATACTGCGTACCTGCGCATCCCCTCCTCCAGACTCAGCTTCATCTCCTCTGAGATTTTGGTTTGCTTCCCCCTCACTTTTACTTCTCTCAACAATATTTGTCTGAACTGATGGAAAAGGTTGCAAAGAATATTGAACATCCGTAAGCAATGCAGCACAGAACGTGCCTGTGGGACATTTCCCAGATACCCTGGGCCACGTCACCCCTTACCTGGAATTTTTGAAAGCCAGTTCCACCATGGACACCAGTCCATGGTATGTGCATGAGAGCGTGTGTGCACGTGAATGTGTGTGCCTTGGTGAGAGTCCGAGCGTGTGTGTGTGCCCACACTCCCTCTGGCAGGCGGGTGTGTTCACGGCTTGTAGCATACTGCTTTCCCCAGTACATCTCCTAATCTGGGAGGAAGGTTCCGTGGCATGTGAACAGGCAGATGACACCAGGGAAGATGAGTAGCTAATTTTTTTTTTTTTTGAGAGGTTTTTGCTATAGGGCGCGTGCGCTTGCCAGACAGACAGAGCGAGCCAGAGAGATAGAAAGCAGGAAATCACCCCCCAGGGGGGATGGCCACGCCGCAATCCCTTCTCCTCTATTCTCCTCTTGGGATCTTGGGCACGTACGCACACGCACCCGGCGTGAGTTTAAGCCACCGGGTCCG